TACAGTCCAAAAGTCTTAATTACGCGGCAATCCCTCTTCAGTTTCCGATGACACTATTTCACGAATTCCTTTCTGCAAAATATTCATTAGAAATGAAAAGTCATGTCACACTAAATCTCCTTCTCAATTACCTTCATATTACACTGGTCGCATATGCCAATAATCTCCAGCTAATTTTATTAACCGAGTATAGTTAGTTTTGAATGCGGGACTAAAGAGATATGATGATAATGATCGAGCCGTGATTGATTAGTTTGTTCAATAATAAGTTCCAGTTAATTAAGACCGAATCAAGAGAAAATTCAAATTGGATCCTGTGGTTGGTAGCGATGACGTCAAGACTGGCCACTATGAAGGCAAGAATCAACAGTAAAATTTTCGGACTAAGTAAGCTTAATAATCTGCGAGTCTTGGCTGCTTAAATAAAATTATTGAGCCTACTTCCATTTCGGGTGAAAGTGTTTGGTGAGGAGATTCTAAGGTCAATTCCATCAGAAGACGACGGCGGAATCCTCTTGGCCAGCGGTCGATTGGCTTTATCGGAACATTCATGTTGACACTATTTCACTCCAAATGAAGGTAAGCTCAACAATTATATGCATATACTAAATAAAATTAGATGAATAAGACGGCCAAAAAAGATATACTTACAGCGAAGCATCAAGTGATACACCTGCTCCGGACATCCCTGTGGCTTATCCATTCGTGTACCTCCTTCTAGAATCTGATAGACATCACGCAATTCAACTCCTGGATACGGTGTCTTGCCATATGTGGCAATCTCCCAAAGCAACACTCCGAACGCCCAGACGTCAGACTTCGTCGAGAAGAGATTATAGACAAGACCTTCAGGAGCAGTCCATTTTATGGGAAACTTAGCACCCTCGTGTGCCCGATATGTGAGATCTCGTTCCATGCAACGAGCAAGACCAAAATCAGCCACCTTGACGAAGTGCTTCTCACCGACCAGACAGTTACGAGCAGCCAAATCCCTAATGAGTAAGAAAATGACGGAAAAAGCAAATGTTAGAGAAAGTAAATCAGATGAAAAATCTGCCAGGGATATGAATAAAGTGTAAATAAAGTCAGATCATTCAGCAAAATACCCTGAAATTTGAGCGTCGTTTGTGGATGAACAATTCGCTCATATATGAGTAAATGAAATAGGCTAAAACAATCTATACCAGAGTGAAAGGTGAGGAGACTTAAGTCTTCAATACGAGAAAAAGAAAAGTGGAGAGTTGTCAAAAGATGGATGACAATTCATTTGACTTTCAATGTTTTGCCTAAATAACGCATTAAAGCATGAAGTTAAAACCAAAGTAATGAGCATAAATGGAGAAATGAAGATGATAAAGAATGCTAGAAAGAAGGAGCGAGATAAGGATAAAAAAGGTTTGTTCTAGACATATATAAACGTGTTATAAGAGCAAAAAGAACAAGACAGTAGATTACAAACATTGAAAAGAAAAACAGTTATTTGACCTTGTTTTTGCAACTTGGTCATAAATAGAAACGAACCCCGTCCGGAGCCCATAGTATGCATGATATTTTCCTCAGTCGGACTGTGGACTTGGTACTTTCCCAGACGTTTCGCTTGCATCGAGTCAGAAGAGTCAGTGAACCTTGCCAGTCCTAGCACCCCATCACAACGAGTGAGAGGCAGGTAAAGTCGATCTTTTGACTAAATATCTGCAAAACGGTTTGGTATCTCTCAAATTCTGGGATATTCACCGATCTTATAACCTCGTATCAACCCCTTGCTATAACAATTTCTTAATTGCTTATTTAAATGTAGTATGGTGTGGCTTTTAAGCGGATTTCATGACACGTCTTCATATCCCACCGTGGCTTTCTCACCTCACCCCCTCATCCTTGTGTTGGGATTGAGCTAAGCCAGCAATCCTCTTCCAATAGGTCCTATCAAAGTCTCCCTTTTGCCCCGTAGTATTCGTCTCCTATCTCCTTGGTTCAGGGATTTCACTCGACATTGTCACTATATCTGCTAATAGAGGCTTTATTTTCCATAGAGGTTCGGTTCTCTATATATTCTTGCTAATATGACCAAGTTGCGAAAACAAGTTCGAATAAATACCATTCAACAAAAGGAGACAGCGACCTTACAAAAGGCTACACAATATCGATCTCCATCCCTTCAAGGAAGATTGCCAAGGAATGCACCAATTACACTAGAAAAAAGAAGACAATTGTAAGTCAATAAAAACACAGTTAATCTAATACTTTATGACGTCTTCATTCGGCAAGTAACGAGATTGAAATGCGTAAGTTATTTAAGTTCATAAATAGTAAATCCAGATTTATGAAGAACCAAGGCATGGTTCTCACTTCAGAGGGTTACAAAAACTCCAGGATATGACTAACCAGAGGTCACAGAGGGTAGTGGATTTGATAAATAGGAGAGATAGCAAGAAATTGCGTAGGTATGTGTTAATAAGACAACGCATGATCAAGCCAACCTGGAAATATTCTGATGATTCTGTATGGAACGCATCTACTGCTACAGATTACTATAAGGATAAAATATTAAGCCTAGCGCCAGTCCGTCTTGGTGCTGAAACCATGGTTATCCTGAAGTAGGGGCTAGATTTTTCCATAGGTAAAGGAAAGGTTCTAGATGGTATTCTTGTGGAAGTTAAAATGTCGTATAAATATCCTCAAGTGACAAAGCGGGAGATGGAAATAGAAATAACCCTACGAATCAGGATACATCAAGAGCCAATACACAGCAACGGATTGACTGGGATACGCAAAAATTTACAAAAGAATGCCCAAATAGTTCTTCAGGGGGGTAAGGGAGGAGCGACGGTGGTAATGGACAGGAAGTAGTACACGAAGAAAATAGAAAGTATCCCAGGCGATCGGAACACTTAGCAAACACTAAGGAAGGATCCAACCACTAAGATAAACGGGACACTGAAGGATGTGCTAAAGGAAATGCATAATAATGAAGAAATCAAGAGATGGATG